GATACTTTCGTCTACCTCATATCAAAACAACCCTTAACATTCTAAAAAATTTTATAAAAGGTTTGAATTTCTAAGAATATCACGAATATAATTTTATTATTACACAATATTGCTTCTTTTCTCAAAAAACCGAAAGAAAGATAAGCATTTAGGATATTTTTTTTAACAAATTAATATATATATGAAGTTGTCATGAATTAGTAACTTTTTATTTTGATTTATAATCACTGAAATGACTTATGATAAAGTCTTTGTTTTTCATCTTTTAATTATAGAAAGAGATAAAGAAAAGTTATTTTCATAGATATAACTTTCTTTTAAGTTTAAGAAATAAAAGAATGATTACTTTTTTAAGTTAAATACAACAATGATAATTATTAAGATAATATATATATTATAATAAAAATTATAATTTATATTTGTTTTAAAATCTCAATTAACAAAAAAAAAATAATGAAGAATGACTCTATCAATAAAAAAATAAGAAAATTTAAATTAAAAGATTGATTTACCACGTGTCAATCAATAGAAAAGAACTTATAAGTACTAAAAATTAAAATGATGAAAATCTTCTTTTTCATTACCCTTTTATCTATTGTATTTGCTGAAGCTGATAATGCAGCTCAAGAAGACAAAAGACCATTTGAAATATTCACATTAAACAATAACTTTTATGGAAATTTCATTGACCATGAAGACATTGTTTTTGTAAAATATTATGCACCATGGTGTGGTCATTGCAAAGCATTAAAACCAATTTATGAAAATCTTGCTAAAGAACTACACAATAAATTAAAATTTGCTGAAGTAAATTGTGAAGAATCAAAGGAAATTTGTGAGAAAGAAGGAATTGAAGGATATCCAACATTAGCCCTCTTCCGTAAAGGAAGATCCAAGAAAGTTTATGGCGGAGAAAGAAATCTTGAAGCAATGAAAAATTTCCTCGAAAATGCATCACTTCCACCTATAATTGAAAGTACTAAAGAAGAGATAGAAGAATTAAAGAAAAAAGAAAATTCTTTTGTTATTATTAAGAGTGAAGCTGATGACCAAATTAGAAATAAATTAGTTGAATTAGTTGATGAATTAGATTATCTTCATTTCTATGCCCTTAACACTGAAATGGATAATTTTGAATTAGCTGTATACAATGGCGATTCTAAAGAAATGTTTACTTATGAAATTACTACATTGGATAAATTTAATGGTATTGAATTTATTGATTGGGCTAACACTAAAACATTCCCATTATTCCATCAAGTCAATATGCCATTGTTTAGAAGAATTGAAAATCTTCCAGTTTATACTTTATGGTATTTCTATCAAGGAACAATTCCAAAAGTTCATGAAGATTTGTTTAGAGGTTTAGCAAAGAAATATAATGGAAAATTCATATTCTTTTCATTTAATAAAATAATTTCTGAAGACCAAGTTAAACATATGCACCATACTGGTAATGTTTATCCAGTAATTTCTATTATTCATACAAACAAGAGAAATATGTATGTTATGGATGAAGATGTTACAATTGATGAAGAAACAATCAATAATTATATCGAAAGTATTCTTAATGGAACTGCCCAACTATACTATCAATCATCTGATCCTATTAAACCAGAAGATCAAAAAGATGTTTTTAAATTAACTGGTCATAATTTCAATGAATTTGTAACAACTAAAGGTAAAGATAGTCTTGTAATCTTCTGTGTTGAAAGAGCTGATATGTGTAAGTATTTCTTAACAACACCACTTGCTAAAGTTGCAAAGAGAATGCAAGGAATTGATACTTTCCAAATGGCATGGATTGATGCATCTACTGATGACATTTCACCTGAATGGAATTTGAATATTATCCCAAAGGTTTACTTAGTCAGTGAAAAAGATGGAGAAACAAAGAAGGTTGAAATGAATGAAATGCCAAGTGAAGAAAATACTATGAAATTCATTATGGAAAATGCTTTATTCAAATTTGAAATGCCTGCCCCTTTACCAGAGGAAAACAAGGAAGATGAGAGTCCAGAAAGTGATTCTGATAGCGAAGAAGCAGAAAAGAAAGAAGACGTAATAGAAAAACCACAAGAAAAGAAAGAGCTATAAAGGAGCTAATTTAATTTTTCAAATAAAATATATTTTAGTTAATTTTTCATTAAATTAATAAAACAACATTTTTTTTCTTTATTATTTCAAAACTGGCATATTGAAAACAAACAAATTTATTTGTTTTAAAACAATATAACACAGTTTATACAAATAGTTAATCAATAATGATACTAATATAAAACTCTTTTTAGAACATTAAAAAAGAAGGCGAAATAACCAACAACTTGTGAAGGAAAATAATATTTTAGAGAGTATTAACACTACATTTTTCTGCTTTTTATTTAATTATTTTGAAGTTAAAATATAAATTCAAAACATATAAAAATTACACTCATTTAATAATAACAAAACACACTTGTTTTATATGACTTTGGACATAAGGATAAGACAAAAACAAATAAAAAGATTAAGTTAAAGTTATACTTATTGAAAAATCAAATTATTTTATTTCCCAAATTTATAAGAAAATAATATTTAAAATTATTTTATTTTAATACATTATCCAATTATTTTTTTATGAATTTAGTAAATAATACAATTAAATTCAAAGAAAAACAATAACCCCTCTATTATATTTTTATAAAATTAATAGTTTTATTCACTAACAAAAAAGAATCAATTCAGATTTCTGTAAGCTCATTTCTTAGCGGTTTTCTTTCCAGCCTTTGATTTCTTTTCAGTTTTCTTTTCTTCCTTCTTTTCTACGACTTTCTTTGGTTCTTCAGCAACAACTGGTTTCTTTTCAGTAATGAAAGTTGATTTCTTAGTAACTTGGACACTTGCTTTAGCAAGAAGTTTCTTTTCTTCAAGAGCCTTGAAGATAGATTCCATAAGAGCCTTCTTGTTTTTGTATTGATTACCCTTAACCTTAAGATAGAAGTCGTGATACATGTGTTTATCGATTTTACCAGTAGTTCTATATTTAAGAAGAAGTCTTCTAAGAACTCTCATTCTAATAATCCATAATGTCTTTTGTGGAGTTCTAGCATTCTTTGTTCCCTTTCTTTTACCATGTCCAGTATGTCTTCCAAGAATCTTAGCTTGTTTTCTTTCAACAACTCTAGCTCTTGAATGCATAGCAGCTGGTTTCTTAATGATTAATCTGTCTTTAATCAACTTTCTAATAGCCTTTCTACTGTTGGCAAGTGAAATTTCTGGGGTTTCATTTGGGTCTAACCAAACTTTTCTGTTACCACATTTAAGGACTGAAGCGGCAAGTCTTTTTTGGAGTTTTAATGAAACCATTCTTTCACTTGATTTTTTAAGTTCATTCTTTCTGAGATATTTTTTGGTTAGGGTTATTTTAAGATTTTATATTATTATTTCATTGTATTTTTATTATTAAGCAAATACTTTAAAATTTAAACAAATAATATTTTTTGGATATATCCCATTCTTTAAAAAAAATAAGAAACAACTTATTCATAATAAATATTTTAATTTCATTCGTTCAAGAGTTGGAATTAATGATTTGGGGTTATTTGGTTCTTCAAGTAATAATCTTTTTTCTTTTGGTAATAAGCAGTTTGCAATACACTCACAAAATTCTATTGGACATTTAAATTTTTGGTCTTTAATATAATTTACTTTTTCTTCATCTTTAGTCTGAATAATTTGTTGGATTGTATTATTCACATTAAGATGAGATCTATTACCATCAAATTGAAGTAAATAAACCATTAATACTCCAATAGAAAATACATCATTACAATATGTTACTAATTCAGAATTAAGATATTCTGGAGAGCTAAATGATGATTTTTCAGCTTGTTCATTGAATAAAGATACCGAAGAATTGACAGTATAAATTTGTTGTAAATTGCCTAGCTTTAAATTAATATGTTTACCATTCTTTTCAACTAATATTGTTTTTTCATTTAAATGATTATGAACAAATTCACGAGTATGTAATATTTGGATTGCTTTACAAATATTAAGAGTAAAACTAATAATGTCGATAAGAGGTAATCTTCTATCTCGAGTATTAAAGAAATCAAATAAAGTAGGTTCTGTAGTAAAAAGGAAAGATGAACGAGTGTTTTCATCACTTCTACCATAATACTTTGAGAAATATTTTTGATTGATGTTGTCAAGAAATAGTGGTGTAATTATTTTGTCTTGATAAATCATAGAATCTTTCTTATCAAAAGTAATGACTTTATATGTCTCCGAATTTTTAACTTTTAAACTAACAAGTCCAGATTGTTCATCAATTTTTCCTAAGAAACTAGAGTCAATTAAACATGATGAATTACATATAATATTTAATGTAAGTTGTTTAAATTCAACTTTATTTAATTTTCCTTCTTCAAAATAATTAAAATATAATTTCATTTTAATTTCAGTAGATGGTTTTAATACTTTAAAATTAAATGAAAATTCTTGAGTTTTTAATTTTCCTTTATCATTAATCAAATCTTCTTGATGTGTTTTTGGTAATGATAAAATATCTTTAAAATCATCAAATAAATAACTTTTACAATTTCTCCAAATCCATAATGATCGAGTTCCACGTTCATACTGAAGATGAAGATTAAGTAATTGAGTAAAGTAATCGTTAAGAGTTCCATCAATTTTAATATCATCTAATGATTCATTTTTTTCTTTTTTAATTAACATATCAATAGAATCTTTCTTAATTTTCTTAATTAATTCTATTTGATTTTTTTGAGACTGAACATAACAACACAATTTCCCATTTAATTGTTTTTCAATTCGTTCAATAAATTCATTTAAATATTTTCCTCTTTGTTCAGGAGAAGCATTACAAAAAGTTGACATAAGTAATTTTTTTGTTTCTTCTTCTTCACGTCTAAATAATTTTTCTTTTTCATTAAATAAGTGAGAAATATCTCTGTTATAACTCTTTTCATTAATTCCCAATAAAGAAGTAAATAAATATTTTATAGTTTTTCCTTTTTCTATAATACTTAGTGAATTGTTTTCATTTAATTCTGAATTAAACCCGTCAAATACAAAATCGGATTTATCAAAATATAATTGATATTCGTCAGATGACATGTCCACTCCTACTACCACTACTTTTTCTTTCCATTCAAAATTTCCTTGTGTAAATAATTCTAATGAAAGTGAATATTCTTTATTTACTACTGCTCCATCAAAGTATAAAAAGTTCACTTTTTCACCATTTAAATTAAATTTTGTATCTCTTCCATTATATAAAATTGTTACTTCAGATTTGTCTTGAGACATCTTTAATTTGAAGTTCTTTTCAGCTTTGTTATTTCAAATCAAAATAATGTTATAAATTCAAAAAAAAATGGTTTTTTCAAAGGTAGTTCATTATTTTTTTTCCTCAATGTTAGATCTAATATTTATCAAAAAACTTAAAATAAAAATAATTTTATTTTTTTGTTTTAAGAAAGAAAAAACCCGAATAAATAGGAAAAAAAGAAGGAAAAAAAGGAAAGAGGCAACTCAATAATAGTAAATAGTAGAGAAACAATGGGATCACTTCTTTCTGTCCCAGTAACTGAACAACAATCTGGAGAAACTAAAGGAGATTTTCTTGATTGTGGATATACCTCAATGCAAGGATGGAGAAGAACTATGGAAGATGCTCATATTGTTGATGTTGAATTTACTTGTGAAAATGGTAAAAAGGCATCATTTTTTGGAGTTTTTGATGGACATGGAGGAGATCAAGTAGCTGAGTATTGTTCAAAAATTTATGTTGAAACATTACTAAATACAGACGCATTCAAAGCAGGTAATTACCAACAAGCATTGATCGATACAAATATTAAAATAGATGAACAAATGAGAACACCTGCAGTTAATGATTTACTTAAAACATTAGGAAGTGGAAGTTCTAACATTTATGATGGAATGTTTGGGGATCTTGTTGCTGATGGTATGGGATGTACATCAGTAGTTATATTAATTATTGACAATACTATTTATTGTGGAAATGCGGGAGATAGTAGAAGTGTTATGCTTAAAGGAGATAATGTTATTCCATTAAGTGTTGATCATAAACCATCATTACAATCAGAAATAGATAGAATTACATTAGCTGGAGGAACTATTGATAATGGTAGAGTTAATGGTAATTTAAATTTAACAAGAACTATTGGTGATTTAATGTATAAACGACAAAGTGAATTACCTCCTCAGAGTCAAATTATTTCATGTTATCCAGATATTACACAACAAGCTATGGATGGAACTGAAAAATTAATTATATTAGCATGTGACGGAATTTGGGATGTATTAACAAATGAGCAATGTGTAGAGAAAGTTCTTGAATATTTAAAACAAGGGAATTCATTGAAAGAAACTTGTGAAAAAATTGCTAATGATTGTTTAAGTAAAGAGCCATATTCTAAACCAGGATGGGATAACATGACACTGTTAGTGGTAAAGTTTAAGTCTTTTAATCCACAACCTGATACAACTACTGTTGTTGCATCATCACAAGAAAAAGATGAAGGATCAGTAACAAAATAATAGAAATTGATTTTATTTTTGGATTAGTTATGAAAAAGTGATTTCATCAAGGGTAAATTTGTTACTTATCATTTCGTTTTATTAAAAATTAAAAAAATCTTGAAAAATATACTTGTGTTATTTATGCATAGCAATTCTTCAGATGAACTTGATGAGCATATTAAATTAAGATCTCAATCTCCTTCTTTATTTGTTTTAAGTGAACAAGAAACAGAAAATGAAAAAGATATTGATTTTGTAGAAACTGAAGCAGAAGAAGAACAAGAAATTTCAAATCAAGGAGACACTACAGAAGAAAATAAAAATGATATTACAGAAGATGTTGAAGATATTCCACTTGATGTTAATTTACATGGAGAAGCATTTGAATCTATTATTATTGCATATGGCCAACAATTTGCTAAAGGAAAAAGTGTTACAATTAAAGAATTAGTTGATATGAAAGAACGAATTCAAAGTGCAGGTCAAAAACTAGAGAAAATTCCATTATGGTTAGATATTTCACCCATTACTGATGATTGTGCAAATGGAATAAGAGATATTTTTGAATTACACCCATTAACTGTAGACGATTGGTTTACAAAAGAGTCAAGAGAAAAAGCAGCATTTTTTGAGAATTATTTTGCTATTACAATAAATGAAATGAGATATATGGATGATACTAATATATTAAAAACATATTTGTTATATATTGTTATTCAAAAGAATATTGTACTTACTGTACATTCAGAACCAATTATTGCAGTTAACGAAGTAAGAACAAGAATATCAAAAAAATATCAAGGTTCATTTCCTAGTGCACACTGGGTATTATATGCTATTTTAGAACTTATTATTTCAAATTATTCATTAATAAATGAAAACTTATATTCAGATGTTGAAACAATAGAACAATTATCACTTGTTTCAATACATAATGATCAAGATGAGTTTTTAGGAAGAATTGGAGATCTTAAGAAACGAGCTAAAGTACTTCAATTTCTTGTTTTAGCAAAGAAATCATTTTTACGATTTATATTAAAATCAAAGTCAAGGATGGTATCAAAGAATCTTAAAATTTATTTAAGAGATATTTTAGATGATACATTAAGACTATTAGAAAAATTACAATCATTGATTGGTTCAATTGAAAATCATCAAGAAACATACTTAGCTAAAATTACTTTAAGTGTTAATAGATATAGTGAAGAAGAAAATAAATTAATGAAAGATTTTGGAGCAATTGCAATATTATTTTTACCTATGGCATTTATTGCATCATTGTTTGGTATGAACGTTACTGTTCCAGGAAAAGATATTCAAAATTTATTATGGTTTAGTATTATTATGATAATTTGTCTTGTATGGTTTGTTGTTGGTATGATTTTTTTTAAGAACTCACGTTGTTTTTAAAAAAAGAATGTAATTTAGAATATTACTAAAATATATTAACATATTCTTTATTTATTATTTATTTTAATAAAAAAAACATAAAAAGTAAATTTTAATTACCAAATCCTTCACCTTCAGATTCTTCATATCTCTTTAAATGCATTTGTATTGCTTGATTAAAAAGTGGTTTAAATGCAGCTCCAATAGAGTCCCAGTTTGAATAATCAAGATCGGACGCTGATAATTTGAATTCATTGTCTTCACAAAAACTTTTAAAATCTTCTTCAGTAAAAGCACAACTTTCACTATCTTCTAATAGGTCATGTTTAGTGCATACAACTGTAAATGGAGCTTCTCTATTATATTCAGTTGCACCAAACCTTTCAGAGAACATAGTTTGTTCAATATGTTGTCCGATATTTTCTAAACAATCTCCATTATCATAAGAACATACAATAATATATCCATCACCTTTATTAGCACGTGAAGTAACTCTACCATATTTTTCACTTCCATTAGTATCCCATAAATGAATTTCATAATATTCTCCTTTATATTTATATTGGAATGGAATATAATCTCTTCCAATTTCTATTGGTGCTTCTTCGTAGTCTTGTTCTGTAAAAGTAAATAATAAAGAAGTTTTTCCAACTCCAAAATTTCCAATTATTGGAATAAGAATTTGGTGTTTTTCATCAAAGCTACGTTCTCCCATCTTTTAATTATTAGTTCTATCACTTTGTTTTTAATTCTTTATAAGTTTGTAATTTATCTTTTTAGTTATGAATAGTTATAATTATTTTTATTGTTTTTCTTTCATTTACATCATTTTTTTGAATAAAATAAAATTGTTATTGAAGAGAAAGAAATTTAATTTACATCATCTTAAATATAAACTTCAAGAAAAAAAGTGCGGAAAACTATAATTAATTAAACTATGAAAAAATATCAAGCATGTGGCTCGATAATGGCTATGTTTGATTGAGTAATATTACTCACTAAAGACATTGGTAAAAGAGGTTGTTGTGTATAATTTGTTGGAAGATATCCCATTAAAAGTGTTTCATATTGGTTATAAGGTTCATGGTGTGGTAATAATCCAGTAGTCCCAGTAGTTAAATCAATTGGAATAAGTTGATAAAAGGTATTTAATCCTTGAATATAATAAATATTTTCTATATTAATTGGAGTAATTAATTGTTGAGGAAGTGAATAAGGATATGAAGAATCAATATTCATTTTTTCTTCATTTATTTTATAATTTTTATCTTCAAGAATTTCTTCAATAGAAAAGTCTATCTGAGAATTAACAACTATTTCTTTTGACTTAGTTTCTTCAAATTTTTTTCCTAAGAAGTTAAGAGTTCTTTTGCCAATTTTCTCTATTACTTCTTTAGGAAAATCTTCATTCATAAAATGAACATGTTTAAACCGTTTCATTTTCACTGTATTAATTGACTCTTTAGAATTCATAAATTCAAATGAATATCCAATGTTTTGAAGTATTTTTACTATCCAATTAAAAGCAACAGAAGAACAATTTTTTTGATAATACCGTTTTCTTTGTGTAATATTTTGAATAAGTTCTGCTTGTTCTTTAGCTTCTTTTTCAACTTCTTCTTTTAACTTAAAAGTTTCATTTCCTCTAATTTCAATAACTCTATAAAATTGTTCTGTTTTTTTACTTTTTTTTTCTAGTCGTTGAATAACAACTTCTCTTTTATTTTTAACCATAAGATAAATCATAAATCCTATTTGATAACACTCTGAATTTTTTGCTCGTTCTTTTTTCTTTCTATTAGTCTCTCTTATGATATCTTCCTCTAACTGTTTTTGTGTTTGTTTAGACATTAAATTATAATATATATTTTTTTGGATTTTTTTTCTTTAAATGTTTTTTTCATTTCTTTTTATTTATTCTTTTATTATATTCATTTATTCTCTTTATTTCCCTATTTATAGTTCTATTATTTATACATCTTTTCATTTTAACTTTAGCTAATCATCACTTTTCTTATTTTTTTCTATTTTTTATTAATTCTTTATTTAATTTGTAAATTTTATAATTAAAAAATTTTTCGAACTATTAAATCTATTAATAAATAACGAAAAATTTAATTGATTACTTATTATTTTTTTATTTATTAGAAATTACTAAATTTCACTTTTATTATTTTTTGTTCTTTTACAACTTTTTCATATTTTTTTTCCTAATTTTATAAAAATATGAGTTTAATTTTTCGTGTGTTTCAGTTGTTAAGTAATTTCATAATACTCACAGTAACCAATTTTTTGAAATTAGCAAATAAATTCCTCTTGATAACTGACACTTAATCAAGAACTTTTCTTCTTTTCTTTAGATATAATAAAATACATTATAAATTAAATTATCATACTTAAAAAGAAATGGAAATAAAGTAAAATTTAATAGTAAGATATAGACAAATACTTAAAACATTTAGCAAAATAGTAAAAAAAGTAAAGAAGTTTTATTCAAGACTCAATGTATTAAATAAAGATAAATTTGTATAACATGAAAATTTTACAAAATTATCATGAAATGATTTATATATTAAATAATTTAGCAAAAAGTATTTATAAGTAAGTAAATTTTCATGTCAAAATTATTAATAATAATGTAATGAATTAGATGTTAATAAACTATTTTTGTTATTCATAATTCTGGATGATTAATCAATACTATAAATATCTTTTTAAATTTACTCAAAACACAAATGAAAAGAAAGAAGGTAAATTGAATAATATAATAAATAAAGAAGAAATAATAAATAATAAATAATGTTGATTAATTGTTTTAATGTGAATTATTATTTATTTTCTTATTTTTATGTTGATTCTTTTGATTTATCTTTTATTGTGATTTGTGGGGTGTTTCTTTGTATTTGTTATTTCTTTTATTTGTTTTATCTTTTGTCTTTTGTCTTTAATTTTATATATTATTTGTATATTTAAAAGTATTTAATTTTCATATCTGTTATATGGTTTATTAATAAATAATAAACATATAATTTAATTATGAACAATGACAGTTATTTGATTATTATTTGTATTTGTATCATTCATTTGTTAGATTAACTTCATATACTTATTGTTCATTCATTCATTTATTTATTATCATCTTATTATCATTATATTATTTCTTTTTAATTCAATAATTTGGTAATTCATTATTCATTTACATAATTTAACCATTTTGAACTACTCTTCTTTTCTTTTTATTATCATTCTATTCATTTCACCATAGCAATTCGTTCTTCAGTTTGTTTCAAATCATGATACCAAATGAAGTTATTATAGGGGATATTTTTTGTACCACCAACTTAATTAAAAATAAAGAAATACTATTGAAATTAATAAAAATTAAAATTAGAAATGTAAATGTTAATTAAACACATTTCTTGCAAACTGGTTGACCATTAATTAACATATAAGAACCATTAAATGGTTTTCCACATCGAGTACAAACGAAACAATTTGGATGGTAGTTATGGTCATCTACAACAAGGTATTTACCATCAAGTGGTTTACCACATTTGAAACATCTTGGGACACAAGTCTCTTCATAGCAAACTGAACAAATTGGCTTTCCATCATGTTCCATTAATTTTCTGTTACCACCAAATTTCTCTCCGCAAACAGAACAAGTAAAACAATCAGTGTGCCAATATTTTCCAAGAGCTTTAACCCCTCCTTCAACTGGTTTACCACATTTTCCGCATTTAATAGTGTCTTCATCAAGTGCTGATGGTGGTGGTGTAGTTGGTCTGTGTTGAGTGGCTGGTTCTTGTGTAGTTGCACCTTCTCCTGTTGGAGCACCACATTCAGAACAGAATTTACCTCCACTTAATTTAGCACCACAATTAGTACAGAACTTTGGTTTTGATGGGGAGGCTGGAGCAGGTTCTGTTTTATTTGGGGTAGATGGAGCATGTTCTGTTTTATTTGGAGTAGATGGAGCAGCAGCAACTGGAGTTTTAGCTGGTGTAGTTGGTTGGTTTGCTGGTGTTGGTTTTGGAGTCTCCTTTTGTGGTTGAGGAGCTGGCTTTGGAGTTTCTTTTACTTCTTCTTGACCTTCAAGTTGTAAAAATGGTTGTTTGTGTTCAATACAATGTTCAATAGCATCAGTGAGAGATTTAGTATCAACTATTTTAAAAGAAGTACCATCACCTTTGTATACTATTTGGAACTTAGCACCTGAGTATTTTTGTTCAATTTCTTTGATGAACACTTCATATAAATTAGGTAAAGTACGTTCTATATTGACAATTTTATTGGCAGTGCCGTATTTTACTTTAATTTTCATTAATGGCATGGCTTGTAGCTAAAATGGATTAAGTGATATTAAGATGAGATGAAATCTAAAACCTCCTTTTTTCAAAAATAAACTCCAAGTCTATTTATTTTAATTTTTTTATTTTGACTTTTCCTTTTATTTATTAGATCTTTTTCACTAATGGCATGCATTAATAGATAGTTATTTTATTTTAATTTGAATAGAAAACTGTTTTGAGGAGTAGAATTTTTTCACTAATTTTTAAGATTTTCAAAAAAAAGTTAAAAAAAAAATAAAAAAATTAATTAACTTTTTTATTTTTCTTTTGTTTTATCTATTTTTTTCCTTGTTATTTAACCTTTTCTTTGTTAATACATCAACTCTTTCAATTAAATTTTATTTTCATTCGTGCGGTTTTTGAATTATTTTTTCTTGTATTCATTTTCAATAACATTTCTTTCTTTCAATAACTTAATATTACAAAATTCTTTCTCATGACATTAATTCTTCTATTTAAATTTATAACTCTTTTATTTCCTTTTTGATTGTCTTAACATTAATTACCTCTCTTTCTCATAAATATTTAATCTATTATCATTATTAAATCTTTCATTTATAATTTTTCCATTATTTATTTTTGATAACATTCTTTTTTTAGTTTATTAATTCTTTCATTCTAAGCATTTAATAACTAAAGCAAAGGTACTAGTTTAAAGCCAGTAATGTCAATTAATTTATTAATAAAAATTTTACAAGTCGATTATTTTCATTCCATAATTATCTCTATGAATTTATTAGTGTTTCAAATAACTGTCATGTGTATATTTAATTATTTTATGTTTAAAAAATGAATTAAATATTTTCCATTTAGTTATATGAATAAACTAAATCAAAAAAACTCTTTTTCAATATTGTTTTCAGTATATTCAAATCAAATTTAATGCATTATTATTTCTCCATTATAAAGAAATGGTAAATATTTAATAAGATAAATTAATTGATAATGTATTGGTTTATCTTTTTTTGGTGTCTTGGTAAATAATATATTCTTAAATACTACTTTTGAAGATTTTCTAATAAATTTAGAGAAATAGGATTAGTAGTATTTTCTTATTATATCATACTTAATAAAATTTATATCAATTATTATCTGATTACAATAAATAATTGATGTATTTTAATTTTCTTTTCTCTGTTACTAAAAAAATAAAATACTAAAGGATTATTTCAATTTCAATTCCTATATGTATATACATTTTTGAAGGTTGATCTTTTTAACAGAAATATATGTTTTATTAATGAGAATATATTTAGTTTATTTAAATAAATCAATGAAACTTATTATGAATATTTTTGAATTATTAATTAATAAAATATAAAATTTTTTTTTTATATATAGCTCTACCAAATAGTATCAATAATCGTATTATTGTATTGAACTATTATATGAAATATTAAATATGTTTTATTGAATATTCTTTTGTTTGGATTGATGTTCTGGTACAATGAAAAAAGTGTTATTGCGAAATAAAAACCGAATTGTAAAAAATCATGGAGTAATTAAAAAAGTTCAAATGATGCAAAACTTTTAAATAAAAAGTATACATTATGAATTGTAAGAACACTATTGTTTATGTTATGGGGATCAGTCGAAGTATAGATAAACAAGAGATAATTAAATTATTTAATGAAAGAATTAGAAATAATATTAAATTTACTCATATAGAAAATGGATCAAGAAAAATACTTTTAATTAGTATGGGTAATCAAGAAATTGCTCAAGAATTAGTTAAAAAATATAATGGAATGGAGTACTGTGGAAAACATTTGGTTATATCATTAAATAAAAATGATTTATTAACTAGTACTAAATTGTATGTAAAAGGAATAAATAAATCAATTTGTAATGAACAATTTAAAAGTATAATGAAAGATTATGGTACTGTAATAAGTTGTAAAATATCATTAAATAAAGAGTTTAAATCAAATGGATATGGTTATGTTGAATTTGAAACTGAAGAAGAATGTAAAAGGGTACTTAATTCACAAAAACTTATTCAAACACAAATAGGAGATAAACATTTTATTATTTCATTATTTAATAAACCTATCCATAAGGACAATTGTATTTATGTAACAAATATTGATTCAACAGTTGATGATATTGATATTATTACATATTTCTCAAAATTTGGAGAAATAGAAAAAAAGGATTTGGAATTAAAATGTTCAATTCGTTTTGAACTTATTCATAAAAAGAAAAATGCTTTTATTACTTATATTAATGAAGAAGATGCTATAAGTGCATTAAGTAGTCCAACAAAAAATGTATTAGGAAAAGGAGATATTCATATTGAATTATGGAAATCAAAAAAAGAACAGAAACAAGAAATAAAACAAAATATAGAATCTATATATAAGGATTATAATTTAAAAATTAAATTACCGAAAAGTAAAATAATCAATGAAAAAAGTATATTTAATTGTTTCAAAAATTGTGGTCAGATTTATAGTATCTATATCCAAAAGCAAAAACAATTTTCAACTATAACTGTGTTCATTTGTTTCACTGATCAACAAAGTACTGAAAATGCAATTTCTCTTGCTGAAGAAAATAAGTGGGATGTAATTCGTGCAGTTGATATACAAAAAAGAGGAGGTGATAATGAAACACCAAAAGAAGTGTCTTTACAAAAAATAGACAAACCTCAAAGAGACGAAGACGTATTGATGAATGAATTATGTAGTAATATTTATAATTATCTAGTTGATTTTTATAATAGTAGTCAAATTAGAAAGATAATTTCTTCTTTAAAGGATACCCATTCCTTTTCTTCACTTCAACACTTATTTAAAGAAAATCATTTGGCGTTTGATAAA